AACAATTCTACCTTTCCAAATTACTGGAGTACCACTATGACATCCAATATAAGCCGGGCAAGACTAATATTGTGGCTGATGCTTTGTCTCGTACGTTTGAAGGGATGGAGGCTACCCTGCACACTCTCTCAGTTCCTCAATTCATTTTCCTAGATGAATTACGACAGGAACTATCTACTGATCCCGCTTATGTTACGCTTCGCGAAAAGGTAACTTCTTTCCCTCATCAATTTCCGGAGTTTACTTTGAAGGATGGATTGATTATGCGGCATAGAAGGATTTGGCTGAGTCCTACTTCACGCTTCAAACAACTTTTGATAAAAGAATTTCATGAGACTCCGATTGGGGGTCATGGCGGCATCATTAAAACTTTGAAGCGTCTGAGTGAGAATTTCTACTGGGCAAACATGAGGACTGAGGTGAAGACATTCATTAACTGTTGTGTGGTGTGCCAACAAACAAAATATAGCACTGCCAAACCCGGGGGTCTTCTCCAGCCACTACCCATTCCTACCAATGTTTGGGAAGACATTTCTCTTGATTTCATTATCGGCTTGCCTATATCTCATGGTTACACCGTTATTCTCGTGGTCGTTGACAGATTTTCCAAAGCTGTTCACTTGGGTGCTCTTCCAACCCAATTCACTGCTTACAAAGTCGCGGAATTATTTGTTAATATGGTCTGCAAATTACATGGTCTCCCTAAGAGCATAGTTTCAGATCGCGACCCCATCTTCATTAGTCGATTTTGGGCCGATCTCTTTCATTTCAGTGGTACCTTACTCCGGATGAGTTCGTCTTATCATCCTCAAACTGATGGACAAACGGAAGTTACCAATCGCACGATTGAGCAATACTTGCGGTCCTTTGTCCACAATAGACCCTCACAGTGGTTCCGTTTTTTGCCTTGGGCAGAATTGCATTACAATACTTCATTCCACTCTGCCACTGGAATTACACCGTACCAGGCAGTATACGGTAAGCTTCCACCTGCGATTCCCTCTTATATTGAAGGCTCGTCCCTTGTCAATGCATGCGACGATATGCTCAATTCTCGAGAAGAGATTCTAGCCCTTCTCAGTCGTAATTTAACGAAGGCTCAGGCGCGCATGAAGGCTAATGCTGATAGTCATAGGAGAGAGGTATCCTTTGAGGTTGGATCTTGGGTTTATGTTAAGCTTCAGCCGTATCGACAAATCTCTGTCACCGGTGGGAAGTATAGCAAGTTGTCCAAGCGATTCTACGGTCCCTTCGTTGTGTTGGAGCGCATCGGTGAAGTAGCTTACAAATTAGAACTCCCTTCAAATTCCAAAATCTACAATGTGTTTCATTGTTCTGTCCTCAAACAGCATCATGGTTCTAATCCATCCGACATCGATCCTTTACCATTTGATTCAGTTGATAATCATCCTCTTGTGGAACCCCTCGCTATTTTGGATTCTAGGACTGTCACTTCAGCAGGCGTCTCCAAGCGTCAAGTCCTTGTGCAGTGGCAAGGATTGTCCCCCGATGATACTTCCTGGGAAGATTGGGACACGCTGTCTTCGGTTTACAACCTTGAGGACAAGGTTGGCTTTGATGGGGCAGGAATTGTTACATACACCCCTTTAGTTAATGAAGAGGAGTCCACTAGTGTTGAGCCCATAGAGATTGCTGAAGCTGGGCCAGTCAATACTAAGCCCAAACGCATAATTAGGTTACCTGTGAGACTCCAAGATTATGAGATATACAAGTGACGTTAGCTGATGGTTCTAGAAGCAATCCTAGATTCTGTTGGTATTGTCGTGCTGCTGCCAGCTTAGAATAAGTCCAAAATAGTTTGTTATTGAATATTTGTTAGTTCCTTTATTTAAGAAGTTGTATTTCCTTTGTTGAGGGCATGAAATGAAATAACAGACTATTTTCTCTCACCTAATTTCTTAAGGAGGCACTCAGTCCTCGAACTCTGAGAAATCACCATTAACATTATATGTTTACATCTTTATTTGAAATATACATAATACATCAGTGTGCATGTTGTTCCCAACGATCAAGACCTTCGCGTTGATGCACACTAAATGCAGCAACACAAAATTCTTCAAAATCCATCCAGTGATAATTTGATATGGGTAGTAACATAATTGAAAACAAATTCACCTAACAAAGTATAGTATACATAAAGAAGGATGCACTAACCATTCATAAAAGCATCACAAATATCCCAAGGTTTTAGCCAAAAACCACTTCAAGAAGAAATATCCTAGGAAGTGATTTAGCAATATGCAACAAATAAAAGTTGGTGTTAAACCTTTCTTGGTGTATACACTAAAACATGAGTTAAAGAGGTTAGTCTAGGTGTTAAAAGAGAAAAAGTTGTAGAACATCATTGTCATGAGGTTAATATCAAAGATGTAATCAAAATTAAAACATATAAAAATCATATGAAGAAGACGAAATGTTTTTCATTTGAAAAACTTCTGTTGTTCGTTTCTTAGTCTGTATATGAATCTATAGTTAAAAGGAAGCTAATTGCTAAGGCTTAAAGAATTTTAATGATTGAACTTAAAAAATTTCTACCCTTTAAAAACTAATCCTTACATCAATTATTAGTAATGTAATTAATAATCTTCTTGCTTATGTATCTGTAACAGTTTGGTAGAAGAAAAAAAATTATTTTCAAATCAGCAATGTTTAACTAAAAAACAAGGATCCAATACATTTCTAAAATAAAGAAGAGGAGGAGAATAGACACTGACAACATAACAAAAACAAATTCAAGACTTAAAAATATAGTTTAGTATTGTTGCATGCAATCCCTAGCAAAAGAGAGAAAACTCAAAATTCATTCACTCTCAGTTCAATTCATGCACACTGATGTATTAATTATGTTTCAGGTAAAGAAATGTAAATATATATCCAATTTGTAGGACCAAAAATGATATATAGCCTATAATATTTTAACAAAGGATGCAAAACTAAAGAAAAGGGGTACAAAAAGCAAAGCAATACCCAAAGTACTCCAAAGCCCAAACAGATTTAGGTACCGTTCGGCCTAACTTTTTTATAACATATTTTATATGTTTTAGTAATATTGTAGTATTTTATTTTAATTTTGTATCTATTTTTGTATAAAAAATTATATATATATATATATATATATATATATATATATATATATATATATATATATATATATATATATATATATATATATATATATATATATATATATATATATATATGTGTGTGTGTGTGTGTGTATATATATATATATATATATATATATATATATATATATATATATATATATATATATGTGTGTATATATATATATATATATATATATATATATATATATATATATATATATATATATATATATATATATATATATATATATATATATATATATATAATTTTATTATTTTTATAAGTATGTATCAAAATAAATATTTTCACTCTTAAAAATTATGAATCAAACACTTGCACTAAATTTGGAGGAAAAATTTAAGTATGGTTCAAATAAAATATTTTCAGATATATATCAAATGATTGTTAGTTTAAAATTATTTTTAAAATTGAAAAAATATAAGTATTATTAAACAACTTTAACTTTACTTATAAAACTCTTATTTTCAACTTTAAGTTAAAATAACTTTTACAAAAGAAAAAAGATCGGTCAAATGATACTTAAAAAAGATGAAAAAGTATCGTTTAATCGATTAACGTAAAGAGTTAATCGATTGATCCTTTTAAAATTCAAATATCATGACAGATAATCGATTAACCCTAAGAAACTAATCTATTAAAAACACTAAACCTACACACCATAACGATCAATGAACCAAAGTTAATTAACATAATTGCTTTAATCGATTAGTCCTAATTAACTACTAAGAGCATAATTATAGGTAGAAATATATGATTCCTACACTATTACCAAAGTGATTGTGTTAGAAAATGATGGATAATTACATAATAACATCGTTCTTTAATTTGCAACCGTTGTCACATTAAACAACGTTCCCAAAAATGCCACATGTGCATTTAATTAATTATTTAATTGGAAATAATTGTAAAAAGATTTAATATAAGATATTTGTGGTATTTAGTGGGACCCATTTTACAAATTTTATGAGTTGCATGGATATTTGGAAAATGTAGTTGAGTTATTTAAATAATTTAAAAGTGTAATATAATGTAAAAAAATAAGTGGGACCTGTTTAAAGAACACAAATGGGTATGATGAATGTGAATGCTCTAATAGTTTAAAAACTCTAGACTTGCATGCCATATCAATCAATGAGTCAAAATCGGTTGACATTATTGCTTTAATCAGTTAAAAGATTTTTTAACCGTTTAAAATCATCCTATAAAAAAGTAAACCGATTTCTCTTCCTCTCTTCTTCCAAACCTAGAGGCTTCAATCGATACTCCCTCTATCTCAAAATAAGAGTCTTTCTAGCTATAAAAAATTGTTCCAAAATAAGAGTATTTTTTACGTTTTCAAAACAATAATAATTAATTTTTATCAACTTTACCCCTAATAAATATTGTTTACCCAACTTTTTAAGATATTACATCACATTACATCTTTATAACAACCAATAATAATTAAGGATAATTTTGTAAAATCGTTACATTTAATTACTCAATCATTACTTTTCTTAATTTATGTGCAACAATCTTAAAAGACTTTTATTTTGAGACGGAAGAAGTATAACGGAGATGAGGAGTCTCTTTTCTTTACTCTGCATTAATCTTAATCACATGCTTCAATGTTTGTAATTCCAGGTGCGGTGAAAAATGTGTTAGTAATGCATACGTAAAACTTTTTTATACTCTACCGATTAAAACTTCAAAAAAGAAAAAATGGCGAAGAACATCTATATTGCACATCTACTGTTCTACATATCCTTTAAGTAGTCACTCATGACACTGTTACATGGAAACACCTCCGAAGGATTCAAGCATGCTTCCTTGATGAAACTGGAAACAAATTTACACACAAAAAAACTACATTATTTGAATGTGTTCCAACCTAGAGGCAGCTTCCATTTTCTATGCCAATATATAGAAACTCTTGCCCACAATCTGTATCCAAAACCATACTCAATTGCTTGATCATCATCATGTCCATCAACAATCAAAGGCAACCAAACATATCTAGAGTCTCTTAACTCACTTGGATTCCATCTATCTGCCATAAAGATAAACAAACCAGGAAACGTTTTTAATGGAAGCACAAAAGCACTTTGTGCAAGAAAAGTCGAAACCTGAAACATTATGTTTCCACCAACACAAGGATTTCCAATTGTTTCCCAAGTCCCCAAGATTGAATCAGATGCATGAACAAGTGCTTCATTTGGTGCCCATCCAGTACACCCTGATGTAATCATGTAATATGTTCCTTTGTGTTTGAACATGGCCGGTGCTTCTCTTCGCTGTCCGACGAAAACCCTTCTCATAACAGATGTCACGTTGAGATAATTTTCTGTCAAGGGTCCAATGTGCATTACATTGTTTCCCTCAGATGAGTATATCAGATATGCAATGCCGTCTTCGTCTTTGAAAACTGTCATGTCCCTGCTTTGATATCCATGCGGTCTTTGGCTACCGAGGTATTCGAATGGACCAATAGGAGTATCACTGATTGCTATGCCGATAGAAGCTTTTGCATAATTGGCGCTGTCGATATGCATCCACATGACATACTTTCTTGTTTTTTCATTGTAAATAACTTTTGGTCTCTCAAGCACATTGGACTTGTGTAGATCATGGGTTTTATTTGTTTTCTCTGCTGTTAATACAATACCTTCATTTTTCCAGGTCCATAGATCCTTAGAAGAATAGCAACCAACTCCTATAACGTCCACCTGAACGAGAAGGAGTGAGAGATAGAGACTGTGAGTTTTGTTACAGTAATTATTTGGAAGCTAATAGAATGGACTCGTTGTCGTCTCTTAGCTCATTCAAGCCGTTCACCTGACAATTGCTTGTTTCCATTGGTGCTTAAGTTACACTCTAGAACAGTAAGTGATTTCAAGAAATCTTTGATGACCTCAACACTAGACTTTGGCCAAAACAGAACAGTGTTTGCATTTGATTCAAATTAAAATGACTCCTAGATATGCTAATTTATATATTCTCTTTTCAGAGTACCAAAATATATGTCAAAAGTACACATTTCAAGAACCAAATTAACCATTTGAAACAAATACAATTTCTCTGCCAAAGACTTCAGTCGATAACAGTGATGTTAAGAATGTTCAAAATTCAACAAATGGAAGTTGCTTGGAATGAATTTGGAACATAACTGCATAAGGCCCCTCGTCATGAATAGTAAAAAAATGAATTAAACATGTCTACAAAACTAGCTAGGGGGAAACAAGTACTTGTGCTATAAGCATTTATCATGTAAGTGCTTATGTATCAGACCGTTTTCATTTTAGTTATTAGATGTTTTCATATGATTTAGACCCGCGCCCGCAACTATATCCATCCTACCCTGCACCATTTCTTGCGGACTTTTGCGGGACGGACCTAAACGGAGTGGACGTGTCTGATTGCTACCCCTACTTGTAAATTTACGTTAAAATAAAATATAAACATGTCATAAGTTGTTTACATAGGGTCTCTCAAATGCAAAACTACTTATGCTAGTAGATAAGTTCAATTAAGTCAATTCAATCAAAACATACTTAAAACAAGTTATTTAACAAATTAAAGTGACTTACACGAGCAGGTCCTTTGTTATGATTCGCAAGGTAGGTAGGTCCATCTTTATACTCACCATACCAATAATAAGTGCTTGAACTTTCATCAAACAGAACGCACCCACCATGTGCTTGAATAGGATTTCCATCAGTATCCAACCAAATCCTCCCGGGGAAGAAGTAATTATAATAACTATCATTCCCTTTCCCTATAGTCTCCATTGGAAAGAAAACCTCTCTAAGTGATGAATCTTGATCCAAAAATTCATCAACCAATGGTGTAATTGACTTGATTTGAGGTAAGGTCTTTTTGTTAGGTGGTGGAATTTGGAAGTTGTAATTTTCAATTTGTTGGAGTTGATGAAAATGAGAAGAAGCAAGAGGTTGAGGTTGAATCATATTGGAATATAAATGAAGTAAAAATATGCATCCTAAGATCAATAAGGTCCATATTATTAGAACTGATATAGAACAATATCTACTTCCAGCAGCAGTAGTAATTGGTTTTCTGTATAGGTTCTTGATCCTCATTTTTCTTGTTTGATGCTGGAAATTGAAATTGTAAACAAAGGTAAGTGTAATATAGTTGATTAATAAATGAAATAATGATTATTAAAGAGAGACTAACCTGAAACTGTAGATAGGAGAAAATGAATAAGGTGGTGCTGTTGGCAATTGGGATCTGGGATTCATCTGGCCTCCTCTAAGAAAAAATTACTTTGACTTTGCAATGAAATAAACAAATTCCTTACAGTGGGACCCTTTCCCTCCTATTTTTTTTTCTCATCACATTATAACCAAATCTAACACAAATCATCACCAAATCAATTAATGATTGGTTTTTCCCTCCTATTCTTATTATAAAAAGAAATTTAAAAAAATCAAAACAAATAAAATTGTTAATTATTATAATCTTTTATATATATATATATATATATATATATATATATATATATATATATATATATATATATATATATATATATATATATATATATATATATATATATATATATATATATATATATATATATATATATATATATATATATATATATATATATATATATATATATAATGGTCTTATATGCAGTAAATAGATTTTTAAAATTTTGATTTCTTTAAAATAAAATTAAAGGAAAAAATCATTAATAAAGACCAAATGTAGTAGTAAGAATAGTATTAGGAGTAATTGTGAGCAACTTAACAAAAGATATATGAACAAAATTATTTATGGATAAAAAATATTAAGTATTTCAACTTTTAAATATATCGAATATACACTTTAAATTAGATTTGATTGTAAGGAGGAGTGTATATGGGTTGAGTTGGATCGAGTCTGGCCTAATTCATTATCTAACTCGATCAAACTTTAATGGGTTGTGTTATTCGTTCAACTCGCAATTTCATTGTTAAAACCGACTTGAATTGACTGATTCATTTAGGGTGTGTTTGGTTCGGGGTAGATGGAGGGGAGGGAAAAATTTTAATTAAATATATTTGGTTCAAATTTTAGGAGGGGAGGGGAGCAAAATCCCTCCAAAACACACTTTTTGGTTCCCTCCGAATTAGGGGGATTTGGAGGGGAGGGGAGGGGAGGGAATATGAGTTTTAATATTTAAACATTATTATATTTACTAAAATATCCTTAGTTTAATTTTATTATTTCAAAACTATTTGTTATCTTTTGTGTTACTGTTTTTTCTCTATTGTTTTCATCAACTTATTATAATTGTTCTCCACCTTCAAATTATTTTATAATTTTTATAATTAATATAAATCATAATCATTGTCTTTTTTTTATAAAAAAAATTATGTTTTGTTATATTCGTTTTTTTCTTTTAATTTTGTTATATACTCTATCATATTTTCTTTTATATCAAATTATAAACCATATCATTTTATTTATTTTTGTTTATTCATTTTATTAAATATTTTGAACCATTAATATTTAGTAATAAGTTATTTTATATATTTATTTTGTTATATGATTCATCAAAATTTAAACGATGTTATTGGCATATAGTTTAATTTATGTTGGAAAGTTATAAGTCGAATCGATTGTACTCAATTTTTTAACTTTATGTGACAAATATTTTTTTAATCACTCAATATTAGAAATTTTATTAACAACAAAAATACGCACGAATTTTTCACATTTTAATATCATATGACTTATATAAGATCATAAGGCTAAAAATGTAAATTATTAATAAAACCTCTCCCCTCCCCTTCTGAACCAAACACATTTTTAATTAAAATCCCTCCCCTCCTCTTTTTTGAACCAAACACTTATTTGATTAAAAAATTTCTTCACCTCCCCTCCCCTCCCCTCCCCTTCGTTAAAATCCCTCTCCTCCCCTCCCCCTCATTTGAACCAAACAGACCCTTATGAGCTGGGTTGAGTTAGGTTCGTGAATTGTGTTTCAAATAAATAAATAAATAAATTGTCGGTTTAAAAGAGTATAACACAACTCAATACAATTATATTTATTTATAACATTTAAATTTGATAAAACACAACATATAATATCTAATAAAATTCATCAACAAGACATAACATTTGATAACAATATAAAATTCAACAAGACATGTTATTTCTATAAAATACATAAGTTGGAAATGATATAAAAGAAAATAAGAAATAATATTTAATCTTAAAACTACCTAAATTTATTGGTCTAATAGTACTTTTGGTGAAGAATATTTTTTTTTTTTGAAAAATTATGGCTATTAATGAGATATTAAGGCTTTTAGTCAAAGTGTTTTTGTCTTTCTTGTTGACAGCCTTCAACTTGGCAATCTTCGTTTTCACTATACTTTTGGAGGGGTTGTTTTCCCTAGGATCATATCTATTGATGGAAGTGATGTATTGATGTTTCCCCTTGTGCCCTTCTTCTTCTTCCCCGCTGCTTGTATCCTTGCCCTTTCCCCCAGTTACAGCTTCAACTGTTTTCTTGGCAAATTATTTTTTCTTCAAGGAGTCTTTGTGGCCCCTCTTATCGTCCTTGTTGTACTCGTTCAACCGTCATTTATTCATCACCCCTTCAATTTCAACCTCTAGTTGGACTCAATCATTCATGTTATAATCGTGACTTTTATGAAAACGACAGTACTTTAATTTATCTTTTCAAGCAGGCTCCCTAGCCGGATATGGGTTCTTGATCCCAACTTCTTTGAAATCTATATTTTCATATTCTTTCCAAATTTTCTCTCGTGAAGTCTTGAGGGGAGTATATGCATCAAATCTAGAATGAGGTCCGCACTCATTTTCTTCTTTATGTCAATCATCATCTTCCTTTGATGGCTGAATGAATTCGGAGTTTCCTGGTCCTTGGTTGGTCCCAATGGCCAAGAGCTTGTCTTTGTAGTTAATGTAGGGTTGCACCGTACTCAACAAGTATTCCATGTTAGGGTCTCTTTATGTCTCAACTTTTCCTATAACATGCATTCCCACCTTAAGCCCCTTTTGAAGATCTAGCACTTCAAGCTTTCATCTAAACCCCCTCCCTAACGACCACTGCCACTTTTGTATAGAAGTTAATGTAGCCACACAAGGTTTCTTTTTACCTTGCGTAATCCTGCTGAGTACGACCACGGTTGTAGGTTGCCTTTTTTGAGCAGTGAAGTGGACATTTAAGGATATGCATAGATCGATTAAGGAATCTATGCTTTCATCAGGAAGGGATTTGAACTAGGCCACAGTTGATCTAGTCAAAGTCAATGCGAAAAGCTTGCAGTTCACGGCCTTGTGGGCATGATAGTAATCCAGTTGGTCATCCATGTGATTAACTTTATCGTTAATATCCTCATTCACATCATAAATTTGGAGCTTTGACGCCTTCTCCAACGAACTTGGAGACCTACTATCCAATATGCAAGCAGATAAAGGATTTTTCTTTCTCTTCTTTATTGGAGTGTATTCTTCATATCCTTCTCTCCTCCAAGGATGAAGGGCTTTTGAAGGATTATTTATACCTTTCCCTCTTTTGGATTAGGGGAAGGGGTCTGGTGTCTACGGTGTTGTAGATGGCTCGGGGACTTCTGGATTTTTTTGAGTGTGTTTTTGTCGGGATTGTTTTCGCTTTAGGGATGACGACCAGTTTCCTTCGTGAGGTCACCTCTTGCACAATAATGTTCCTCAAATTGGCATGTTGTAGGCTCTTTTTAATCCATAATAACCTTTCTGGTAAGGCATGTGAGTATTGTTATTGTACCATATTGTAAGCACTGTTCAGTAGCTCATTGGGTCTCTACAGGCCAAGGTTAGCCTACAGTAATTAAAAGTTGGGAAGCATTCTTTGTCCAGGCATTGCAGATAGTGGAAGAGGTTTAAACAAAGGCTTACCTTGGTGAAATTATGATACGAATCTGAGTAATGGAAGAGGATGAAATGCTACCTAATTGGCCCAAGGTTATACATGATCTTCTAGCGGTGGAATAGATGAAGATGTTATCTACACTTGATCATCATATCTTTGGTCACTTCAGCAGTAGTAGTCACAACTTGTTGTTGGATGGTGGAACGTGTTAGAACACAGATTGGTTCTTAATAATATCTCTATGTTTTGATGATAACTATTATGAAATTTTGTATTTAAGAATTATATACTCTAAAATTTGCTTGAGAAGTTTTACTGCAGATAGTAAAGGAATTAACTCTCCAGAAGCAAATCAGAATTGAACACAAGAAATTAGCTAGACTCTGAAGCGCCAGATGCATTAATTAGAAGGCTCTGATTGCTGCCAACAGAAGATTCTGAGCGTAGCCTCCAAAAGATTCTGAAGCAGAAGCTCCAGAAGGATCTGAAGCAGAAGCTCCAGAAGGATCTGAAGCAGAAGCTCCAGAAGAATCTGAAGCAAGTCAGAAGCATCTGAAGCAAAGAAGAATTTTGTATGAAGAGTTTTTCAAAGCATAGTTTCTACAGAAGATTCTGAAAGTACTAAAGCTGCCAGTACTGAAGTTCTGTCACAAATATGCTCTAATATTAAACACGCTGAAAGCACACCTGCTGCAGAAGACTCTGATTCAGCAAGACTCTGATCATCATTAGAAGACTCTGATCAAATTAGACTCTAATGAATTTGCTGAAAATTGAAGAAGAAATATTCAAAGATTATATCCGTTGGAGTAAATCAAACGTCTCTTTCCTTATTTATGCTAGACACAAGAACACAGACAAAAAGGATTTTTCTGTGCTTTCTTCTTCTAGGAAAGGTCACTTGATGTGAAGATAAAAAGGCTCAGACCTTTTGGACACTCTTCTCAACGTGAAGTCCACCTTGGATCAGCTGCCTATAAAAGCAAGACTCCACCAAATTCTTCAGTTGATGTTTGCATTGAAAAGAAATCAAATATTCAAGCTCTCATACTTTCATATTTATTCTAAGAATTTATTTCATTGTACTTAAACTTAAGAGAAATATCACAGTTGTGATAATAGCTTTTTAGAAGCAATTCTTACTCTTGTAATAGTTTTACATTGATTGTAAAAGATTTCCTTAAGAGGATCCAGTTGGGATCAGTAGCT